CTATGTAGGTAAAAATCTGTTTAACAACCTGTTAAAATACACCAGAATGCAGGAAATGGCATTTACTTCTTTAAAAATGTTCTGGGGCAGGACCCCCAGACCTCCCACCAGTGGGTTCCCCCAACATTACAAAGACTTACTGTTGTTTTTTGTCTCTGAATGTCATAAAATCCCTGATATTATCTGTGAAAATACAAATTGAACATATGTTGGCAAATCCATAGCTTTATATTGCCATAATTTTCAATTTGTCATTTTTACAAACACATCGTACAATTTCTGTTATAGATATTAGTTTTTCAGTGCCCCCCATGCCCCCCGAAAAATTCTTTACAGTCGAGTTTTGTATTTTAGGCATAAACGCACTTCCAATTGGTCCGGAATTTATACAATATTTATTTGATTGTTACAGTTAAAATTTCCTTTAAGCATCTTGTCTCAACTCTCATTCAGTACCAGCAAAACATTGACAGCTTTGTTCTGACATGTGTTGAATATACATCAGAGCTCCAAAGTGGAAATCATCACTACACCAAACAATCATCAGTGTACTTAATAATTGTTTAAGCTATTCATCAAAATACAGTCCTACCATCTTTTAAATTTGTCAAGTTGTAAGTATTTTAGAATTTAATATTGCTCTCTGTGACATGGATGGAGAAACTTTATGGGTTTAGATACCCATAGGTGCTTTTTCACTGTTAGTTTAGCAGTAAGGTTTTGCCCACAACATTAAAGCCATGACCAGTTCAGGTTTCTAGCTGAAACTAAATATATTTGTTGTGACACTTGTGGTGTGATTTATCAGGGAAAAAAATGTTGTTTAAAAATATTTTCCTGCATGTTCCAGCTTTTAAAAAATACAGTATTGCTGGMTTGGMCAATAAAGARAAGTTAAAAGTTGACCACGTGTCCYGTCTTGGTGTGATAAATTTCTCAATAGCTTTTAATTTCAGCCCAGAGCTTGGCTGCTTTTTTGGGCCACAAACGTCTGGCTTCCACAGTTGTACAGAGAATAGAGATTACCTGGTCCACACCTAATTAAGAAAAAATAAACTGTTGAAGTAATGTATATCAATATATTGTCAATTGCCGGTTGTTGGCCTTTTGACCAATGGAAAATATTAAACCTGTTTCTCAATCCTGCTACTTAAATTCCACAAACCTCTGGGAGGTTGGGGGCACAGCATTGGAAGTGAGTGGTGATGGTCAATTTTAGTGTCTCCTTGCGTCAATAATGTGTGAACACATACAGACTTTTATTGTTTTATTGCACACCATTACCTTCATGGCCCCTTGGACAATAGGAGAAATGCTGTAAACTCTTAATGCTTAAAGCTGAGACATTTTTTGTTAAAACAAAAAAGGGAAAATGTAGTCATATATGTATTTCAAATTATTGTCAAAATCCCAGTAAAGTCAGTGTGGTAGCCACATCCTCCCACAGTCAACTGCACTTTTTCCTGACTGAAAAGGTCAGCTTGTTGCAGTAAATCACATTTGATCTCGCCCAAAGCATATACTGTACGTAGGGTGCAACACTGAAACAAACAAAAACAAACGCAGACCCACTTTCCTCTATTACTGTTTCGCTTTCACGCTGTGTCTGTTTTTCTGTATCGCCTCCTTTAATTTTACTTTAACCATTTCTAGGAATAAATGACTCACCCCACCATGGCAAACTACTGATATTGTAGGCTCAATGTGTAGTCTCATGTTTGTGTTTGTGCATTCATATCCATCCACACACGTGTACTCCAACAGCCAGAGCAACATCAAATCCCAGGTAATATTTATTTAAAGTGGCAACCTGCTGTTTGTATTTCTCCTTGCCTCCTGTACCTGTCAGGGGCCTCTGAATCTGCWGTTTAATGAGCAAAGGCTTTTCTCACACTCACTCTTTGTCTTGTGTGCTCCTGTTGCCGTGTGTCTGCGGTAGTAGCACTGACCATAAGAGACACACGGCTCTAAGTCCCAAGGCTAATTGCTGCTACCGGGCTGATAGTCTTTCTGTGCTACATTCTCATTGACTCCCTGGACTCCAGGGGGATTCCTGCAGGCACCCAAAGACAAACAAACTCGGGCGGACAATCAATAACGGATGCAAGCTTTGCAGCTCAGCACAGCTGCTGATTAAGATTCACTGGGAATGTATGTGTGAATTTGTGTTTCGGTGTTATGTAAAAGTGTAAAAATGGAAAAGACTCCCAATTGTCCTTACCCTGTTTGTTGGTGCTAACAGGATTCAGTCTGTCCCTGAGTGACTGTTTCTGTGTTATTTTAAATAGCAACATCGGAGTTCAGTCATTCTCACAAGAACACATTAATGCCCCAGAGTAATTATTTTCCCAACATCTCAGGTCCTCAACACGTAACGAGAGGTTGGGTCAATACATGAATGTAAGTCATAAACATAATTTAAATAATAACTTTTTTTTCTGTCTTCTGTAAAATAAATCGGCCTGCTGATATTTATTTATGTTTGCACAATCTAAATTACCAGTCATTATTTTACCGCAGACAAACACACCGACTACAGTAGAAAGCTACTATTAGAAACCCAAATTACACTGTAATCATAAAAAAGATACAGAAAATMATGCTGTGCTCAATGCAAGATTCTTCCCTTTTATCAAACTAACAAGATGTCTCAACACTAGAACATTTTGAACTTTAGAGAATTCTTAAAATTGATTATGGAACCAAGGAAACATTGTGGAATGCAAAGGATTTGATCGTTAATAGGTGATAAAATAAAGCCAATAAGGAAAATAATACTATATCTTAAGTTAAATATTTACTCTACTGTGACCTAAAGCATTTACTAACCCATTTTTGAGTAAAATYTCTTAGCAATTCTTATAAAACAAGATTTTAGATGGGGCCTTAAGTCAGAATAGGAACACGAGGGAGCAACCATCAGCACAGAAGATTGGTATAAAAACAAAATGATGATTGTTTGTAACTGGATATTGCATAAGACTAAGTTAGGAAAAACATATTTTAGCCAAAATCAAATGGTGTGGCAGAAGCTGCAGTCATTGTATAAAGGTTCTAGGTGTCCATAAAATGCATTTAAGCAGTTTAATGCGGTCATATGTCAAGAATTTCTTTCTTATATTAAAAAAATCTCTTCATTACTGTTAATTTGGGGAATAATACTTATAAACAAATCACAAGATATAAAGCCAAGAGCTGTTTTTTTAGCTAGAACATGCACATTTGCAAACATTCTGTTGTATATTTTATTTCTCGGATCAGAAAAACTGCCTAATGGCATGATGTGGTCCTTGTGTCATTCAGTGCCAGTGGCTGCAGTGCTATAGTGTCATCACGCCTGTCCTCACCCCTTTCACCCCATCTATCCCCCCTCCACTCCTTCTCTCAGGGCTCCTGTTTGCTTTTGTTCCTGTCTCCAGTCGGCCTGACTCACAACGATGATCTTGACCAGGAGCAGGAGAAATGTCAAGGTTGGCCGGCAATGCAGTCAGCCCTGTCTCCGTGCGCTAACGGTGTTAGCTCTCTGTCTTTGTTTCTGTCGCCATCTTGCTACAGCTCCCAGTTTTTCCTCCATCTTTAGCCTTTCCTCATCCGTATCTGTGTTTACCCGGGAGGGTTGGACATGTGTCAGTGAGGACTGGCAGCAGGGGTGGGGGGTGCCGGAGCGAGGGTCTGTTGTCAGCCACGCTTTGAAGTTTCAGCCCTAACCGGCGGTGCGGCGAGAGCAGGGGACTTGAAAGCACCGAGTGACATTTCAGCACAGAGCTGCGTGACCTGGTAGCATGCTCCTGTGTACTCATGAATATACTGTACTTATATGGTATATATGAATATATGACTCTGTAAGTGAACAAGAAAGAGTCCTTATGGTTACAAACTGTCCTCTTGTCCCTCAAGTACTGCTGGTGATTGGCTGTAGGATTAAATTTAAATCACTGACTATAAAATATCCCTTCAGTCATCAACTGCTACATCAACAGCAATGTTATTTGGATATATTTGCTTTGCAGCAGCTGATAAACATTATAAAATGCACACAGTGTAACTGGATCTAGTAGACACAAACTGCCTAAGCCATATTTAATCTTTGGAACCTACATGCACAGTCTTTGTGCCGAAGGACAGTCGACCTCCTTTGGATCAGCTTTGCATGCCTGCCCAGTGTGTCTAAGTGTCTTCCCAACGACGGCTGCTCACACATGAAAGACTTTATAATGTGTCACACATCGTCCTCGCCTGCAGCCAAACAGCATCAAAATGTGCCTGTGGCCTATAGCCGGACAAATGTCTTCATCTGCAGCCCGATTGTGCTGTGTGCGCCTTTCTGTCTGTCCTGTAAATGGTGTAAACAGGTGTTAACATGTGAGCCCACAAGATGCCACATGCCGCTGTGTCGTGATCTCCTGAACAGCTGTCTCCCACCATTGTGTGTGTGGCTATGTGTGAGTGTTTATTGTGTGGGTTATAAATGGCTGCAGAGGAGCATTAGCCCCAGATTTTGTCCAAAGCCAAGGACAAACATAAAGAAAAGAGAAAGAATGAACAGTTGGGTTTTATGACAATGTAACTGACATCAGGGGCAGCCGTAGATGATTTCTTGCACAAAGCATTTTAAATGTTGTCACAAACACTTCGCCACATTTCGCCTCTTTCCATCTCTGCAAATTAGCAAACTGGATTTTGTAATATAAATGTGTGCTTCTGTTCTCAGGTGGAATTTGAAAAAATAGACTACCACCACTTCCTGCCATTGTTCTTTGATGGTCTGCGTGAGACTAAGCATCCATACGAGTTCTTCGCCCGCCAGGGGTCCCTTGACCTTCTGAACCACGGAGGCCCCCGAATCCTCCCCGTCATTCCCCAGCTCATCATGCCCATTAAAAGTAAGTCTTGGGGTGTTCAAACTCACAATTCAATTTTCATACAATGCGCACTGCTTCTGTCTGTTTACGTCATTGCTTCTGCAACATTGTCTATTTATAAAAAAACAACGTATAAGGACAGTTTAAAGACAGTATTAATATTGATATAGAATAAATATTTACGATATACAGTCCAACTTAAATGAWTAAATGACTGTTAATGTACTGAGTCTGTTACGGTGTAAGAAAATATTGATACACTGAAATCGCAATATTTTATTCCCTGATACTCTGATTCCTAAAAGCACTGGATGGATTAAAAAGAAAAAATAAGTAGGTCTTCTGGATGGGTTCTTCTTTAGTGAAATGTTTCATCTCTCCTCCAAGAGACTTCTTCAGTCTGATGAGTTTCAGGTGAACTCAGCCTTATAAGTCCTGCCTCCACKTGGACAAACAGGTTAGTCACATGCAAAATAGGGCCATCGACTAACAATAGGCTTGACTGGCTCAATTGTTCATAGAGGGTCATGTGCCCCATCACCTGACCCGTGTCATGTTATGTAAATGTAGTGAATGCAAGCGGGGGTTCAACATCCCCTTGTTTTTGTCCCTCTCTCCCTCTTTGTGTTGGTATCATTGGGGCCCTGATTCACACCTTTTGCTCCCAGTGGGCTGAGTCATACTTGCAATTACAGCATTGTAGMAGGAGGACAACTGGACACGAAGGCCTCCACCTCTGTTTAAAGGTGGACAGTTTTTCTTCACAAAGATGGCTTCCTTTAGTCCTCTCAAACCAACGTTCCTCTCTATCAAGGATGAGAACATCTTCATCCCTGAAAGAGTGACCGCTGYCCTGTAGATGAGTGTAAACTGCAGAGTCCTGACTCGACGACGTAGCTCGTCTGTGCTGGCTCATTCTTTTGAACAGTGGCTGTTTRMTTTCRCCAATGTYTGACTGATCACAGTCCTCCTGACACTTAACAGCATATACTATATTACTCTGTTTTTGCCGGGGAACTGGATTTTTGGGGTGAACTAATCTTTGTTGTAACGTGCTTTGGGATTTGAAAGCCACTGGGAGCCTACTTATTTTTTCTTTTTGATTTTTTCCTACCTGGATTACTGAGATGCATCAGGACACTGGATGGATGTTATAAGAAGAAATGTGAAATACAATTGCAGTTCTTACTGTTGTTCAGTGTTCTTCTGCTCTTTTT